GTGTTCCTTATTATTTTAATAAACTTGAGAAAAATAAAATATTAATAAATTATTTTTTAATTTATTTTCCATAACATAACCAAACACTAGAAAGTGTTTTTCAGTTTATTTTTCACAACACTACCAAACATCGAAAAATAATTTACTTTTAAAAAAGAAACAACTTTTCTGCAAACAAACAAAGCCTAGATTGTGGCCTACTTTGTGAGGCCCAAACCCATGTATACGGGATGGGGTCAGGCCCAACACAATCTGATTTGTGTGATGAGATAGATGGCCCTATAAATGTTTTTTCTTTTTTTTTAGTTTTTTTTATTTTTGGTATAAGTGAGCTAGACCTAAACCAGGCATACTGGTTGAGCTTAAATCCACTCAATATAATTTGGTTATTGGTCTAGCCTACTGATCAAATTGATAGCCTCTGCAAAACGTGAATCATTTCACGTTCTGCATGCTTTTTGTAACAATAAATTAAAGAAGATAAAAGAAGGAAAGTTACCTAGACTGGATAGGGCGTTGCTTGTTGGTAGAGCTTCAATCGTGGTGTGGTGGTCCTAATTAAGGTTGATGGTGGTGCAGGTGAGGCTGGTGGCTGAGAAGGAACTATTGTTGCTATGATAAGAGATGAAGACCTCTAGTGCTAGCCTTAATTTGATGGAGTTAAAGCGTTTGTCTGATGTTAAAACCAACTTGCTAATAGGTTAATGAGCTGGTTGAGTTCTTGTTGCCCACGAGAGTTTGGTGCTACTCAAGAGAACTTTGTTGTCTTTGGACTGCTAAACAAATACTGAGGGAATATTGCACCATTATTGTTATTATGAGTTAGTGGAGAAGATGAAAACGTGGCTATGATGATTCTTAATAGGGTCTCTTATCATTTTTTTTTTGCTGGAACAAGAGAGGTGGTAGTTGTTTTTGCAGTGTTTTTTTTTTTGGAAGTTCAATGTAGCAACTCGTAAACGACAATCCAGAAGGAACCATGCTGATGCAAACCTCGTGATCATATCACATGCTAGGAATGTGATATAACTTCAGGCACACTATAGGAGCGCCTCTTTTCATCTTGGCTGAGGCATGATAGTGTATTTAATGGCTCTATAAAAGGGTCTTCAACCAGCTTTTTCATGGGAGAAATGAAGGAGAATAATGGTGCCAAAATGACACAATTTTGTCCATTTTAATTCATTCCTTCTTTATTTATGATGTAGTCGTACTATTTCAATTTTGTTGAATTCAGCTAATTAAGTTAATTTCTAAAAATTCATTTTGATTAAGTCCCTGGTCATGTTAGTTTTGACCCTTAATTATCAATGCCTTTTACAATATCGCCCTTGGTCTCAAACATCTTTAATTTGATCCTTAATTAAGCCTCAAACTTCTAATTTCTTCAATTCCACCCCCATTTGCAACTTGAATTGGGTCCTCAAATTTACATGCCTTTTGCAAAATGATCATTGGCTTTGAATTTGATTTTCCTGCAATTTTATCCCTGATTTCACCTAAATGAGTTTGAAAAATTTAAATTTGATCATTTAAAATTTTAATCTTTTCAATTAAACTCAAATTAAGCTTTCAAACTTATTTTTTCACCAATTAAGTCCCTAATAAAATTAATTTGATGTTAAAAGCTCATTTAAGTCCTCACACTTAATTAATTCTTTTAGTTTGACCTAATTAATTCTTAAACTTAATTAAACCTTTAGACTTGTGATTAAAATTTAATTTTTATGCAAATTTTTCCAATAATAATTTAAATTAAAAGCTCATTTAAGTCCTCATACTTAATTAATTCTTTTAGTTCGACCCAATTAATTCTTAAACTTAATTAAACCTTTAGACTTGTGATTAAAATTTAATTTTTATGCAAATTTATCCAATAATAATTTAATTTAACTTTGATTTTTTGCATTGTCTTTCAATCTTGAGTATAATTGGATCCGTGACGTTGTCCAAAATCTCAGTTTGATTTCTCAATATGTTTAAAACCCTTATTAGTTTACTCTTACCAAGTTGTTAGTCTTTCATTCTTTGTTGTTTTTATTTTTTATTTTATTTTATTTTTTTAATTTTAAAGAAAAAAATAATTTTGAGGGAAACTCAAAATTAGGTTATGACATATATAATGAGTTCTAATTTGAGCGAAAGTTCAAGTGATCATCATTGGATATGAGTCACATTTACCACTTGAATCTCTTAATCTAATCCTAAAGAGAGATAAACTCGGGTCCAGAGTTTTTATTAATTTTTATGAAGTGTGTGAAAACTTTAAAAATTAAATTCATGCACATTTAAATCAACATATTAAAATTAATGGATAAATAAAATTAACATATGAAATTAAATAACATAAATGAAATAAAAATAAATGCTCAATAATAAATGGCAATTAAGACATTAAAAGAGGAAACACATCTAGATAGGCTTGACCCTAGTCTTTAATGAAGTCATCATGCTATCACATTTAGCACAATGTTTTGGACTTTCAAAATAAAAGGGAAATTGAAAAAGAAAAAAAAGAAGAAGTAGAGGAGTTGCCACCTATTAATTAAAGAAAACTAAAAATCTTAAAATAAACATTGATTTTATAGATTCAAATAAGGGGTTGATTATATTTAAGAAAAAATAAACATCACCTTTACCATATCCTTTCAAACAAAATGTTACCTTTAATATATGTTTTCTTTTAAATTGCATGCATTTAAGTGTCTAAATTAATTTTTGATCTTATTTGCAATTTATTTCTAATGTCTTTTGTGAAAAATTCAACACCCATTCCTAAAAATATAAGACTCGTCGATTATACCATTTAC